CCCCAAAACCCCAAAACCCCAAAACCCCAAAACCCCAAAACCCCAAATAAATTGCAGCAAATTGGAGATATAATAATTATTTTGTATAAAATCGAAATATGAAGAAAAAGGATATCGAAAAGCCTTTGCTCGATAAAAAGAGCCAAGGTAAAGAAGATATTTCAGAGGATATTGAAAATCAGAAAACCAAGATTGATAAAGAACAAAAGAAAGAGAGAGGTTCCACAAAGAACAAATGGGGTTCTGGCCAAGATATTAAGGATTATGGACTCTGGTATTGCTTCAGCTATACACTCCCTATCATTTGGAAAGGTGACTGGGTAGTCAAGATCCAAGTTATTGTTACCTTCCTTTTAACTTTGGCAGCTAAGTTCCTAGCTGTTGTGCACCCAATTATTCTTAAATATATCATTGACGCTATGTCACTAGGTGAAGAAGCTTATTATTTGATTATTATGTACATTGTTGTAAGATTCGCAGCTGAAGTTTGCCAGCTCAGTAGAGAGATCTCATTTGCTTCAGTGTCAGCCTCTGCTGAAATTTACATGGCTAGCAAGGTCTACAATCATGTACAAAATCAGAGTTTGAACTTCCATTTGTCCAGAGAAACCGGAAAAATTATTAGGATTTGTTCAAAAGGATCTCAGTCATTCGCCTCTATCTTAAGATACAGTGTGTTCTTAATAGGACCACTGTTTCTCGAGATTACTCTTGTGGTAATCTCATGTGCATTCGTATTCCCATTCTACTTTTTCCTCCTTGTCATATTGTGTGTCGTCTCATATATTTTGGATACATACTTTGTTACAGAGTGGAGAGCAAAGTACTTCAGAAGATTGAACATCAAGGATAATGCTTATGTACAGAAGGCCACAGACTCCCTTTTAAACTTTGAAACCGTCAAATACTTTAATGCTGAGGAGCATGAAGCTCAGAGATATATGGGAGCCCTTCAAGAGTACAAGATCGAGAATGTGTCAACCACCAACTCAATGGTGGTCCTGAACATCTCTCAGAGTTTCTTCCTCTTCCTTGGGCTTCTGCTGAATTTGAGTCTTGCTGCATACATGGTAGATACAGGAGTCTTCAAAGTTGGAGATTTTGTGTTGCTGAACACCTATATCTTACAGGTATATGCTCCTTTGTTCTACCTAGGAAATTTCTTGAGATGGATCAAGCAAGCCATGATCGATATTGAGCAGATCTTTGAGATTCTCGAGATTGATGACACTATCAAAGAAGATCCACACCCTCAAAGAGCAATCAAAGGTGACGGAAGAATTGAGTTCAAGAATGTATCATTTGCTTATGAGAAGGACACTGAAAGAATGATTATCGATAATCTTAGCTTTACTGTAGAGCCTGGAAAGTCAGTTGCCCTAGTAGGAGCCACTGGTGCTGGAAAATCCACTATTATGAGACTTTTGTACAGATTCTATGAGACAAGAGAAGGCCAAATCCTCATAGATGGCCAGGATATTAGAAGACTTACTGTCTATGAACTGAGACAGAAAATAGGTATTGTTCCCCAGGACACAGTTCTTTTTAATGACACTCTAAAGTATAACCTTGCTTATGGAGGAGTGAGTGATCCTAAGTTCAAGCAATTGATGGAAGATCCTGACAGAGAAGAAGAATTGCTCATCAAACTTCGTGACGTTGCAAATAAAGCACAAATCTTAGATTTCATTCGAGGAAAGGAAAAACAGTTCGAAGAAGTCGTAGGTGAAAGAGGACTTAAGCTATCTGGAGGAGAGAAGCAAAGAGTTGCCATAGCTAGAGCCTTACTAAAGAAGACACCGATCATGCTTTTTGATGAAGCCACATCTGCTCTCGATACTGTTACTGAGAAGGAAATCCAGGGAGCTATTAATGATGCTTCTAAGGGCGTAACCTCCTTGATGATTGCTCACAGACTTTCTACTATTAAGAAATGTGATAACATTATCGTTCTCAAGAACGGTGTTATTTGTGAGCAAGGCAATCATAACACCCTCCTGGCAAAGGAAGGTGAATACAAGACCTTGTGGGATAAGCAGACCCAGAAGGAAAAGATCGAAAAGGAAGAAAAGGAGGACATCAAGAGAAGAGAAGAAGAGAGAGCTGAGATCCTCCAAAATAGAGCCTCTTTGAGAAAGAAGAAGAGCTCTATGAACTTCATCAACGCCCAGAAAAAGAATCAATCTGCTATCTAAGACATTCTCATGTCTGGTAAGATTTTAGTAAGAGATTCCTTAATTCTCGTCTCTATGGGGTTTTGGGGTTTTGGGGTTTTGGGGTTTTGGGGTTTTGGGGTTTTGGGG